CCCCAGTTTGTATAAATACCTGGGGTTGCGCCGACCCAAGTGCAGCACCCTGTTGTTCGGAAATACACGGTGCTGCCAGTTTCCTGTAATTTTTATAACCTTTTGACTTTTTAATTACATACTCACATTTTTTTAATGACAGAAAGGGTGGATTTATTTCTGTGGAACAAGGTGGGGCATATCTTAATTTTTCACCCCTACTCTTCTGTTTCTCCTCTGATACCTACATTGACTTCTTTTAAACTCTTTGTGTTGTAATAAAAATAATAAAAATTAGATTTGGAGTAGTCAAGCCTCCCAGTACTTTTTCTAATGCTGTAGAGCACGGAGGATAGGGTGTTCACCAGCCCTCACCACCACCATTTCCAAGTCTAGCCACTTTCAATGCAAGATATTTTTAAAGATGCTGTGGAAGAACCAGAAGGATACAGATAGTGAGAGGATGAGGCTTACGTGTAAACTTTAAGTAATTAAAACATTGAGGGGAAATTTATTACTACTGCTTCACTAAAAAAAATATGGATGCACTGAGTTGTTGCTTTTACCTTCACTTTGCATTCTTGAGTCTTACATCTCTGTCTCTGCGAAAGAATTGTTCCTTTTCTGCATACCCTTTTGTTTCCAAGAGTGTCTTGGGCTTTTCCTAAGGCATAGCAGGGAGGAAGGCTGGTTGCTCCTTTGAGTAGAGCAAACTTTTACAGGTAGTTTCAGATTCCACTTGGCAAATTCTGACCTAACTTGTGATTTTTTTATTTTCTTTTTTGTGCCTAAATGTTTCATTACTTTAATGACTGCCCCATCTGGGTTGCTTCAAGATTACTTCCTAGTTTGTTTGGGGCTTAAATCAAGATGTAGGAGATAAAAGCCTGCTTCGTGAATTTTATCTGATATATAATACAGCATTTTCTTTGATTTTAACACATATATGTTCAACTTACTAGTATAGCATGTTCTGGATACCAAAAGTAAATACAGTTTCAAAAGAGTTAAAAGAGGAAGAGTTCATCAGTGGCTCTTAAGCTACAGGTGTGGCTATTGCATTTAGGAAGATTCCTGGGTACTAGTAGGCTTTTCTAAGGGAGTTATCACTCATTGCCATAGGTTATCTTTTTTGTCTTAATATCTTGATATTAGTTGTTTTTACAAACACTGATATTAATGTACTTTTGTTTGGACTGTTACAGGACATCTTAGGTGACTTGTGTCACAGAACTTAACGATTTTTGAGGCAGATGATTTCATGTCTTCTGGTATCACTCAGTGAAATCTATTGACAATTATTTACGACAGACGTTTATTTCTTATTATGTTAGGTTCTTTACCAGAGTTTGAGAGACTTACTAGAATATGAAGGAAGCGTGGAAGATGATATGATGATAACGTTTCAAATATCTCATACGGATCTCTTTGGCAATCCAATGATGCATGATTTAAAGGAAAACGGTGATAAAATTCCTATTACGAATGAAAATAGAAAGGTACACTCATAATTTTTTTAACGTAATCTGTAATTTTTAGATACTCTATGCAGAATTATGGAGGACTCTGTAAAGTTTGATCTCATAATTTAAGTTTAAAAGTCTTTTAAAATTTCATTAGCACAGTGTACTTGTAAGCAGAAAAGGCTTCTATTTTAAAGTAAGCAGCGATACATGTATGCATAGTTTCTGGGTGTGGTGTTTGACCTGTTTGAGATGTATTTGAGGCTTGCTCTTTATTGTTGCTGAGTAGAAGCTGAGCCCAGATAATCTACACAGAATTACAGAATTAAATATATTTCGGGGTCTTATATTTTGAGAAGATGCTTCAAGTGGCATGTGTCAAAACTAAGGGGTTTTTTGGGGATTGTTTCCTTACAGGAATTTGTCAATCTGTATGCTGACTATATACTGAATAAATCGGTAGAAAAGCAGTTCAAGGCCTTTCGGAGAGGATTCCACATGGTGACCAATGAATCTCCTTTGAAATATTTATTTAGACCAGAGGAAATTGAATTACTTATTTGTGGAAGTAGGGTAAGAATCCTGAACGTACACCAGAAAGTGGAGCTTTTTATCATAAGTATATAATTAGTGGTCACTTTTAAAAATGTCATCTTCTTGCAGAATTTAGATTTTCAAGCACTAGAAGAAACTACAGAATATGATGGTGGCTACACAAGAGACTCTCTTATTATTAGGTAATTTTTCTTAACTTCTGAAAGATTAAAAGCGCTTTACATGCCTGTTTCTTCATGATGAATTTAATATTGTAAGATTTAGTATTTTTGTAGCACTGGAGATGCAAGTGTCTCCTTTCACTTTACTCGAGTACTGTTATTAGAAAAGAGCAGATAGTATAAACATTGTCTTTAGCTTCCAGTGAACTTTGGTAAAGCTTAAAAGGGATTTTTCTCAGGGATTTTTGTCTTTCTCTTATACCATATAGTTAAATAATCCTGAGTATAAACAGGGCTGTTTCAAGAAATTATCACTGCTTGGCTGTTGTAAAAAAAAAAAAAAATCACAAACACCGAATTGTTTGAATAGGTTGCATGTACAGAACTTTCTTCTCTAATTACAAATCAAGTAAACTCAAATGTGTCTTAAGAGGGAAAATGTTTGTAATGTTTTTACCTTCTTGTCCCCTTTGACTAGAGAACTCTGAAGACAAGGGTCAGAGAAGTCTGCATCTTCGGTCCTCTAGACTTTGCCAACTACTTAACTAGTTCCATCTAGGGTAGAAAATCTTTGACAGCAGCCGCAGTAGTTCACAGTGGTTTTTAAGGTGGTAGAAATGGACAGTGTAGTGGAACCAGTGTAATTCTATAGGAAATAGGAATAATGGAATAAAGGAAGAACACTTGCAGACCACTTACCAGCCTAAATTAACATTTAAAAACAATTAAAGTGCAGTGTTTTGGTAATATTTCTGATTTCTACTTCTGAATCTCATTGATTGCTAAATATGTTACTGTTAGTTTTGGTTTATGAATGCAACGTCTAAACTGATGTTAAGATTGATTAGAATTACTAAACCCTGAAAGTTCAATTACTCTTGAAAAATCTCATCTATACCAAATAAAGTTTTCAGTTTACTTACGGTTTGATTTCTTCCTTGATAGGGAATTCTGGGAAATAGTCCATTCATTTACAGATGAACAGAAAAGACTATTCTTACAGTTTACAACAGGCACAGACAGAGCCCCTGTGGGAGGACTTGGCAAGTTAAAGATGATCATAGCCAAAAACGGCCCAGATACAGAGAGGTAAAAACAAAATAAAAAAATCTACAGTTTGCTTGTTTGTTTATAAATGGAAGCAAGTTCTGTGCTTTTAATTTATTAACTTTGTTAAATCTTCAAGTTGAATCTTTAAGCAAAGTAGATTCTCTTTAAATTCATGAGTTTGGATTTTTGAAATAGCAATGTATTTCTTTGCATGTACTGCATGTTCCCCGATCTGAATTCTTCCTTTTTGTTTTCCCCACAGGTTACCTACATCTCACACATGCTTTAATGTACTTTTGCTTCCGGAGTACTCAAGCAAAGAAAAGCTTAAAGAAAGATTATTGAAGGCCATCACATATGCCAAAGGATTTGGCATGCTGTAATAAATATAACAAAAGGGATTAAAAAGTTGATGGTGATGATGTCCCTGTTCAAAAAGGCCATAAGATAGTGAGCTACAGTAGTCACCTGTGTTTGTGCCTCCCTTCTTTACTGGGGACATTGGGCTGGAACAGCAGATTTCAGCTGCTTATATGAACAAAATCTTTATTTTTTCTTTTAGCGTGAAAGTGTTACATATTCTTTCACTTGTATGTACAGAGAGGTTTTCCTGAATATTTATTTTAAGGGTTAAATCACTTTTGCTTGTGTTTATTACTGCTTGAAGTTGAGCCTTTTTGAGTATTTACAAGGAAACAAACTGTAACTCTCCCAAGGAAAATATTGCCATCATTTGTAGACCATGTAACCTTCAAGTATGTGCTATATTTTTGTCCCTGTATCTAATCAAATCAAAACTGTACTTTTTGAAGAGTTTGCTTTTGAAACTTGAAGTCTTGGAAAACAGTGTGATGCAATTACTGCTGTTCTAGCCCCCAAAGAGTTTCTGTGCAAAATCTTAAGAATCAATAAAGATGGAAGGGAGAACTTGGAATGTTAAATTGCAGCCTTGAGAACTTTACTTTAGTCACAGCACAACTATTAAAATTCATTTCACTATATGTTGTCTTCACATGTCTTGTAATAAATTGTGTTTTTAATTAGGAAACATTTCTTAGCGTATGAAAGGGTAGAAATTTTAGTTACTTTTTTAAAAAAGTTTACTGGGGAAAGTGCATTTTCAACTGAACAGCTTTAGAGTAGGGAGTGAAGTGTTTGGAAAAAAGATAGGAAGTTTTTGCTATATTATAAACAAAGCATGTGGAAGTGCACTTAAAATGAAGTTTTATTCTTAATTGCCTATTATGTTGACATTTTAAATAGACAATCCAAAGTCTTCCCTACATGTTATGTCATCGCCATTTATTTAATGAATCGTCGTTCCTGCTTATCAAGGCACATGATCAGTGTTGCAACATAATCTAAAGGGATGGCTACTGTATTTTAACCTCATCTAACAATAAGCAAAATTGAACAATATTAAACATAAGGCCTACTTCATGTTGTACACTTCCAACCATTAAATAAACTGTTAGAAAGTAAGTACTACAGTTATGTTAATCTACTACATAAAGTATTCAGTAGATTTTTAATTTAACTCTACAAATCATATCAGAAATAAATTCTTTACCTTTCGTAGTCTGTGTTTAATGTTAATTTCTCCTGTTGCAATATATGATGAAGGGATTATGCATTTTTAAGTGAAGACGTAACTGGCATATCTCTTTTATAAGACAAGCTGCGGCAGATGTGCAGAGCTGAGCTTGTGCCTTGACAATTGCTATAACTGACTACTGCCAATCAAACCCATGACTGTGTTAAATTGGCATTAGAAGGCATAGTTTTGAAATCATTGGAGAAAGAAAAGATGTCTTTCAGGACTATTTTAATAAATTCTTTCTAGTAATAGAAACAGACAACTGTTATGTAACTATGATGCTGAATAAAACAGTGACCTTTTTTCACCATGGTTCAGTGAAAAAGAAAACAAGTTACTTATTTTGATAAATTGGGTATTAAATTATTTTATTCAAAAACTTTGTAGTACAGCATAATTTGAGGGTTACAGGTACTTAAAACTCTCCAGAAGTGAACTGTAGTGATGCGGGGCCCAGCTGTGTACCCCTCTTAAATCCAAGCCGCTGCAAGACAGCCTGGACACAGGGACTGAAACTTGCTGGGGGGGGAGAGGTGCTGGCTGTCTTCTGGTCTTGGGTCTTAGGTGGCAATTAAGGCATGCCTTCTTGAATGTTCACCTCTCTGAATGTACTTGAAGAGGAAAACACGAGATATCCTACCTCTCAGTAGGGTGGCTGACAACAGTGCTTGCCGATGCCTTCAGGTTTGGGGCATCTTACTGTAGGTGGGGAGAACAAGATTTGCTGAGTGCCTTGAGGTGTTTTGTTACAAGTATGAACCACGTCATGATACTGCTACATGGTATGCGCTACGTCAATAGTTTAATACTGTTAGTTTGTATCTGTATAACTTGTTTTATTCTGATGTAGCTATGGGTGGGGGTTATGCCCAGCTGACAAGTGTATAACATTCATGTTGGGTTTTTTTTTATATAGGTCCAAAAGCTGGGCAGACCATGTAATTGGATAGCAATACAGAGTTCTCTCACTGAAGTTCTGACATTGTAAATATGCTTTTTCTGTCTTCATTTAGAATTAAGATTAAAATAACATGCTTGTGTTGGCCTTTAAAAGCATAAGTTATTTTTCAAGGAATCATTTTCAGGTAAGATATAAGTACTTATTATTTGACAGATTTCCCATTTACCGCCTCCTTTAAAATGCCACTGTATTGAAACCCTATCTCCTTAGCAGTGTTATAAATGCGCTATTTGTCTAGTGGAAGTAGTTGGTAAGGTTTAAAATAAATACATCTTGACATCTTGTAGCTGCAAGCTGCTTTCCTGCCCTGCAGAAGTTCCAGTCAGCCTTCTGGTGCTTGAAGTGTTTGTCAAAGTGGGGAAAATGCCATTTAAGTTCTCTTTTTTTTTTTTTTTTTTCCCCTAGTGAATTTGAGGTCTACAAAACTTACCTCAGAAACTTGGGTGTACTTATGTGTCACTCAAATCTCTCTCGTGTGAGCCAGAAGACTTCTCTTCAAGGCAGCAGTCTGATGCCACGATGCTGGTGCTCTCCCTGCAGGGTGTCCTTAATACATTAATGAGAAAATATTTTGGGTATCTCAGCATTGTCTCATTTGACATGTGACAAATGTCTCTCTAAGATTTGCCTTCTGCAACCTGCCAAGACTGCCAAGACGCTTCCAACCTTGGTGTGAAGGGAACGTCAGGCTTTTATCTGTATTTTGTAGTATCTCATGCCTCAAAAATTATAGTCATGCAAGATATACTGAAAAGAATAATCTTAAGTACTGAACAAATACAGATTTTTTTTTTCCAGATTCCACTAGGAGTGAAGGAATAGTTTTGTTTATCTCTGTAAAAGTATGTTAGCACATGTCTCTGCATGAACAGGGCATTGCCTTTTAAAAGGTGAAGGCTTTTGTTTGTTGCTAAAAAGATTTCAGGATCGGCCATCAGGAAGTGAGCACAGTTCAGTTAACCAAGCAAGTGTTTTGTGAACTTCTGACTGGGCTTCTCTGCCGTTTGGAAGGCAGTGGCCTGAGACACAACTGTGACAGCTGAGGAGACTTTCTCCTTCCCTGTGCTTTGAGGAAAGCTGATGCTGGAATGGGCTGGCCATGAGCCTGGGGCTCCAAGCAGCTCTGTGTTACTTTAGTCAATCTACACTTCGCATCCAACAGCAGTCTTCACTGCTGAAAGCAGGAGCATCATACCGCATGTCATACTGCACAGGTGTGATGTACCTGATGGGCTGAGCCCCCAGGTAGCTCACAGCGTGGACTACTCAGGTGCTCACCCCGGTTTCTGCTCTGGAGCCAGGAGTGGGACACAGGTTGCC